ACTGTCACAACACAGGCAACTCTAAGCTATGTTATGAAAAAACGTACCAATATGAGAAGTTAATGTGTGATAGATTAGATCAGTATTTTGAATGTCACTTTCACAGAACATAAACAAAAAAGGTATGTCCAGAGAAGAGACAAGGACGGTGAGAATGAGAGATCCAACTTGGCTAGTGCTTTCAACGAGAGTCTTAAATATTTAAAGAGGTGTACCTGCAGACTATGACACAAAGGAAAAATCTTTCATTTTCCCCCAGAGGACAGAACAGAACCAATTATAGGGAAAAGTATTTGACCTTAAACTCCACAACCAAAACTACAAAATGTGAATGTATTAGCCAATGAATTCACTTATTTAGAGAGGTGATGCTACATGACTCTGGGGATAGAATAGGAGGGACTATACGTATGGCAGGTAGGAAGCTGGGCTAGGCTTCTGAGGTCACTTCTTTCAAGCTTAACATACTTAGATTATTTATTTATTTATTTACTTACTTACTTATTATTTATTTTTATTTTTTTGTGTGGGGGGGGTTGGTTGGTGAGGGGATCCAAACCCATGACCTTGGGGTATAGGTAGAGAATCATTTAGAGTGACTCGTAATCAATTTCCTTTAAGACTTTCAAAGGCATGATTTGAAGCAATGTTGATAATGAACTCAGCTGGTCTGTATGTGTGAACCAGGGTGAGCAGAGACAGGAAATAGAGGACAGTAAAGAGCAAGCAGTGGGGGCAGGGCAGGAGGACCTAGTCTGCAGATCCTAAGTGCACTCAAGGAGTTGATGGGAGGAGATGATGGTCAACCAGGTTGTCCAGACCAAATCCTAATTGAGATTTTGATAATCGTAGTTATCTTATGTAGTTTTCTCATTTGAAGTCACAACATGGACTAACATTTTCTCTTTTTTTCTTTCCAAATGTGATAGGAAAGCAAAGATATCCTGTTAGTGGATCTAAACTATGAAATCGACACCAATCAGAATTCTTTAAGAGAAAATCCATTCTTAACAAATGGCATCACCTCCTGCTCTCTTCCTCGACCAAAGCCTCAGGCATCCTTCTTGCCTGAAAATGCCTTTTCTGCCAATCTCAACTTCTTTCCCACCCCTAATCCTGATCCTTTCCGTGATGATCCTTTCGCACAGCCTGACCAATCGACACCCTCTTCGTTTGATTCTCTCAAATCTTCAGATCAGAAGAAAGAGAATTCGAGTAGCTTGTCTACTCCACTGAGTAACGGGCCCCTGAATGGTGATGTTGATTACTTTGGCCAGCAGTTTGACCAAATCTCTAACAGGACTGGCAAACAAGAAGCTCAGGCAGGCCCATGGCCCTTTCCAAGTCCGCAAACCCAGCCAGCAGTGAGAACTCAAAACGGGGTATCTGAAAGAGAACAGAACGGCTTCCATGTCAAATCCTCCCCGAACCCTTTTGTGGGAAGCCCTCCCAAAGGACTGTCCGTACCGAATGGCATTAAGCAGGACTTGGAAAGCTCTGTCCAGTCCTCACCACATGACTCCATAGCCATTATCCCACCTCCACAAAGTACCAAACCAGGAAGAGGCAGAAGGACAGCTAAGGTGAATTGTCTTCTCCACGTGTCCATTAGCAGAGTGCATGTTCCTAACAAAGGGGGGCGTGGCGCAGGAGCTCCCTTCCCCGCTGCTTTCATAGTCCCCCATGTGGCTGTAAAGTAGGAGGTGGGAGAAGGCACCTCAGCTCTCCAGGAATACTTGCCCCAGTTGCCACCCTTTTTGAGCTTCTCAGCATTGTTTGTCATGCTCTGCTTTCTGTTTGCATGTCTTGTCACTTATTATTAAACTAAACACAAGTTTTTCCATTTTTAATGCTGCTATGCTTCTGTACCTCTGGTAAGTGTGATCGTCTTGTTCTGGGAGGGGAGGGCAAGAGTTCTTGTGATTCCCCGTGTACCTTCCCCACTCTAACACACGCCCTGCACACCCGTCCTATTGTATTCACGTCCAAGGTGGTGGT